GTTTCCTGATGACTTCCAAATTTGGGTGATAAAGTTACCTGCAGGCTGAATTTTTTTTATTTTCACAGATTTCTGATATACACCTCATTATAGCAAACAGACCAATAAACAACCAACGAGCAAAGCAGATGTTAGTGGAGTTGGGCCAACCATAGAGTCGTGTTTCAGTGGTAACTCCCCCCTGAGCGCTGGTTGTGTATTTTTGGGGACATTCAGCGGGGATCGATCGGATGCTGGGTCTCGTGTTGTACACGATTGTTATCAGTTGGGTAGAAGCAAATAGAAAATCGTTGCTAAGAAGCTTTATTTGGTGATGCAAAGACCGCTAATCAAACAGAGGTGACTGCAAACTCACGGTCCCAGGGAGGAGGGGTGCAGGCGGTCCCAGAGAAGGGGGCTGTGGTCCCCATGGAGGGGGCTCCGGAGAAGCTTGGGCGTCCGAGGGAAGGAGCGCTTTGGTGGGGGCACTTTGGGGGATGCCAATGTGAGGATCCTGGTGTGTTCCCGTAGCTGTGCGGGGTGATGGTGGGCGATGCAGGGCCGTGGTTCCCTCGGCTTGTTCTCAAACACTTCCCCCAGTCCTGAGGTCCTCGTTTGTGACAATGTACAGAGAGCTGGGAGGGTCCCTCGGTGCATCGGTGGGATGGTGGGGACCAGGGGAGGATGGAGTCCTGCTGGCACCCAGGAGAGGTCCTGCTCCTTCCCCCCACCCTGGTTTGGGCTGGGACAGAGGGAACTCTCTCCCCAGCAGCTGGTGTGAGGCTGTGTTGGGGTTTGTGCTGAGGAGAAGCTGATCACACACTGATGGGCAGAGCTGCTGCCAGGACAGTCAAGGACTTTCCAGCTTCTCTGCTGTGCCCGTGTCTGCAGGGGCAGGAGGAGCTGGGAGGGAGCACAGCCCCAGTGACCAGCCCAGGATTCGACCTCAGGGTTAGGGCTGAGACCCAAACTGGCCGATGGTCTGTTCCATCCCATGCCCGGCATGGCCAGGGGAGAGGTGAGGCTCTGTCCAGAAGTTCTCTCTCTTGCTCTGGGTTGTCTCCCTCTGGGTCACCCCTCTCTCATGGTCATCTCGAACTCTTGGACACTCGGGTCTTATCTCCACTCTGGGATTGTGGTTTCAGGACTCTCCCTGCTCTGGGATCATTGGCTGGGAACGGGCTGAGCCTTGGTCATGGGGTGGTGAGCAGTGTCACTGGGTGTCACTCATCTGTATATATCACTATTATTATTTTTCACAACATTATTGCAGTTCAGTTATTAAATTGTTCTTATCTCACCCCATGAGTCTCTTTTCCCTTCACCCCTTTAATTCGCCCCCATCCCCAGGAGGAGGGAGGCGGGAGGGTGAGCGAGCGGCTGCGTGGTGTTGGGCTCTCAGCTCACCCAAGGACAGCGGTAGCAGGGGATGGTTTTGATCCCTCGACCTCTGTGCTGGATGACATCCCAGCACACACCATCACTGCCCAGTCCCTGTGAAACACCTCTCCCCTCGCTGCAGCAATGATGGGATACGGTGAGGAGGAGAAAGTCAGGAGGAAGAGCACTTTGAGCCAACTTTGCTGAGAGCTGGTTCCCCATCCAATGACAATGACAAAGACAAGGACAAGGACAGCAAAGCGTCTTCCAGATGCCTCGTGGTGTTGTGAAGGGGCTGGAGCTGGGTCCCCACAGCAGTCCTTTGTGGTGCTAAAGGCCATGAAAAATAAACCCTTGGTCCTAGGAGCTGCTGGGGGTCAGGACATCCTCCTGGGCAGATGGGGACCGTCTGGTGGGACCTGGGGTGTGAGCTTGAAACTGAGAAACGCGTATTTCCCCCGATGGTGGGACATGAAAGGATGAATTTTCTTTACCGATTTTAACGTTTCTGTTATAAAATGTGCTTCTCCTTGTCTGGTGGATCGAGGAGAGCGAAAGCCTGTGTTCTGGGTCATGGGCACCTCTGGGTCAGGGGCACATCTGGAGAATTTCCTCTGCCTCAGTGCAGCGGAGGAGCCCAGAACATCTGCCCGGCACCACAGCTCTAGCTGAGCAACGCAAGAGGGTGAAAATCATCAGCTGAAAGGGGGAAAAAGGGTTAATGTTCAGGTTCTTCAGCTCAAGGCTTGCATTCTGAGATGGGGGAGGGATGGAGGGAAGCAAAAGAAGCTGTCTCCTGGGTGTGGGTCCCCCGGGGCTCTGTAAACACCCCCAGCCCTTGCTGCGGGAGGATTCCCGGGTCTGCTGGAGGGCTGCGGACAGCAAACTCCTGTTTGTGGCTGGGGCAGGAAACTGGTGAGCTGCTGGTGCTGAGGGAGCGAGTTCCTGGGCTTTTCCGAAGGTGTTATGTGTGTGCAAGGCTTGAAATGAAAATTCCACCTGCAGTGGGAGGCAGGGAGCCTGTGTCGCTGCCAAAGGCTCGGCAGGGTGCCGATGAAACGGTGTTTGAGCCTGTCCTGGCTTTCCGACCCGCAGAGCGACCCAGGTCACTGGAGCAGGCTCTTAGCATCGGGGCCAATCTCTGTTTGCTTTTTTCTCCCCATGTTAAACCCCATCATTTACGGGGGATGACAAGCAAACAGCTTCAGAGGAGCTTGGTTCAGGTGGTGGCTGAGTCAGCATCCTGCTGAGCCCAGCAGGCAGGAAAACACTTCTCAAGACTTGGACACCAAGGTTATGTTTTCCTTTTGAATGCACGGAGATGTTATTGTAGAAGTGCCCGCTGCTGCTTGCCTGGGGGGCTGGGGCGAGGTGGGGCGGAGCAGTGGGAAGGACCCCAAGCAGGAGGCATTGTGGAGACCCTTGGTCCCCCAGCTCAGCCCAAAATTCCTGAGTTGAGCATCTCCTCCTCCTCCATCCCCTGCGTGCTGCCGTGGGGGTCTTGCCCACAGCCGGTGGGCTGCAGGTGCCCAAGAAGATGCAGCGCAGTGGTGCCGTCAGTGTTTGCAGTGAATGGGAGGGCAGGAGCAGAGGACACCGTCCCCCTCCCGAAGGTTTCCCCCAGAGCAGGGGAGGGCTCTGGGGCTGGCAGGGAGAGCCTGGGGTGGATGCGTTTGGCTTTTTCCCATGCCCCA